TTGATCGAAGTCAAGTCGTCATGTTCTGCTATCAGATGGATTCTATTTGATTTCACCCCAGCTGCTGTTGAATCATTGTATCGATTGTGAAGCAAGAAGAAAAACAAGGATTCACGAAGCAGTTTCGATTTATTTGATGTTCTTATGTTTTCACCGATAGATTATGAGATCAAGTTTCGATTGGCATCGGAAGCCATAGATCCGTTGATTTGAGCTTCGTCTTTGGTTCAATCTTGCTTGTGAGTTTCGAATCTTACCTTCGGTGAAACAAGGGAGGAAGTCATGCAATCGTTCATCTAAATCTGGATTTTCTTCAAGTTTTTCATTGATCGTTTGTTTCTTTGAACCTGAATTTGTGTTTTGTTCGGCATCGATTGATCAATTTCTGCTATTAGAAAGTTTGACGCGTATTTCCGACTTCAATTCAGTATCAGTGCAACGACGGCGACGCTTGGAAGAAAATCGATGAATAGTGATGATGGATTAACTCACAAGTCTCGTCGATCTGTTCAGAGATCTTCCCGTTGTGAAGATATTTCTCTGTCCGTTGAGTTTGTTTTGCAGCAATTTTAGTTGATTCAAGCGTTGATATCGATTGAGATTGATCCGTGATTGCTGTTATGATGGATTTAAGTTCATTATTTCCTGGTTTTGTTGAGTTTATAGCTCCATCAGGAACTCTTCATGTCAATGACAAGCAGTTTGGAGAATGTACAAGGCTGCATTTGAAGAAAGATTTGATGTTCATCTATGCTTCTCTTCCAAGACCCCCCAAATGTTCGATTTCGTGTTGTGCATGTTTTCTGACTTGCTTTCCCAGCTTGAAGATTTTAGAACACTGGATGTTGTCGAGTCTTGGCGATATATGGCTAAGTAGACATGCTTAGACATGGGTTGATTTGGTTAGATGATTATAGGGAAAATCATACTTGCGGTGTTGAAAGCAAATGCTTAGATCTTGCTGCAGTTCGTATGACATCTGTGATTGATCTTCCTGTGTTATGTCATGTTGCTGCGAGAGTAATTCAGTCCAGCTCTCACGTTATAACACATATGAGAAGAATGCAAAGTATTGGTCATTTCTCTGTAGTGGTTCAGTTTGCTATGTTTCTATACATGACTGTGCTTCAACTATCTGCTCGTGACGGGGAGCTACAGTTAGAAAGTCTGCAGCTGATCCTAGAGGTAGAACATCTTATTTTCCAGCTCAGATCCTATGCGCAACTTGTTTCAAGAGAATGCAATATGTATTGCTTGCTTCTGATTTATCCTCCCTGGATGGTTACAAGATTAAGAGTATTATTTTGTTCATCTCAAGAACGTGCTTCTGAAGTTTGTCTACATGTTCACAAGCTTTGGTTTGCTGCTTCCGTCCTGCATCTCGTCGTAACAAACGTTTCTATAGCGACAAAGCCATATGCTTCTGGCTCGTTCTGGATGGTACATGTCCATACTTGATTTCCTTTATTGTTCATTACCGAGACCGCCAGAAGATCTTTATGAATTCAATTTCACTCTCCTCCATTTCATCTTGTTTTCTTCATGTCCAAGGTGTAAGGGATTACATCTTGAGGGGGGGGGGATATTAGATATGGTAATTGATATATTCATATTTTACCTTATTTCAATCACATTTCATTGTGTTTTTATCCCATATTTGCAAATCATTTAGGCATTTTTAGGGGCATTTGCATCTCTTTTGTGCTTTTGTAGGTTTGAAGATGGTGAATCTTGGAACGAAATGATTTGGAGCTTAATTGGATGCAAAAAGATGAGAATTCAAGAGGATATGAATGTGGCACAAGTTGGTAAAAAAAAAGAGTGTAATTGATGGCCAAGAAATGAAAAAATGAGAAAATGACAGTCTCCATATTGTGGCTTGATACCGAGGATCGACCCTCGGTATGGCTGGAAGAAGGAAAATGAAGCTTTTGTAGTCAAATTGGCAGAGCACATACTGTGGATTCAAACCGAGGGTTGACCATCGGTATGGGTGTTCCGAGAACCAAACTTTCATGACCGACCCAGATCAAGATAGGTCGACCCGGTTCCATTTTAGTCCTTTATAAATACAATTTTTAGCATGTAATAACCTAAGTTTCCTCTCTTCTAGAGTTGAATTTTGATCCAAACTCTCTTTTGATATTTTGGATGAATTTTCATCTCCTCATGCCACTTTAGAGAAGGATTCTTCACCTCTATCTTTTATTTATCTAATTCCATTTTGTTTGTGTCTTTCTCGTTGTTATATTCATCATGTTTATGAACTAGTTGGGTTATG